GTATCACGGCAGGGGACACCACAAATGGGCTTCACACATTGAACCAGGTGGGGAATCGAACCTGGGTCTTCAGCATGACGAGTCTTCTTGGGAGATCAATACAAATCACCCGAGTGGAGATACCGGTCACTTGGATGACAAGGTGTCATCGATCGCTATTGATCAGCTGGATCGTTGTCCTTAATATTCATCACTGGGTTGTTTGGTCCAGAATCGATTATTTACACATTGATGTGATGTAGTTGGAGTTTGGAGTTAAACAAACATATAACAGCACTAATCAGGAAAGGAAAGATCTGATTACGACGTTCTTGCTCCACTTGAAGGACCAAATAAAAAAAAAAGAATAATTAATTAATCACACACACACACACACACACACACACACACACACACACACACACACACACACACACACACACACACACACACACACACACACACACACACACACGGTTCTGAAAACCATATACATTTGTATAGAATTGTAGATATGGTTTTCAGAAAAAATGCTAAATTGTTTAATGTTATTTTCAGTTGGCATTTCAAATATCACTTACATTGAAGAAGTCCTTAAATCATGCTGACTTTCTTCACATATCACTTCTTAACAGACTTCTCAACTTCTATTGATAGCGTTATGTATAGGTTAATCACCCTTAAAGCCTACCGTAGTGAGGGTGATTAAACGGCTTACACCACGAGGGCATACTTATTTAATACGCGTGTAAAGTATTAGGCATGATGAACGTTATCAAAATGAGTACAATTTTATTGTTTTTAAATAGAAATGATGAATGAATGAGTATGGTTTTACGCCGCTTTTAGCAATATTCCCGCAATATCACGGCGGGGTACACCAGAAATGGGCTTCACACATTGTGCCCATGTGGGGAATCGAACTCGGGTCTTCGGCGTGACTAAATAGAAATAATTACCCTATGGCAGTTATTCAGTTATGCTAATAAAACACTTCCAAGAACAATGGACATCACTTTCACTCGTGGTTTAATCTTAGTAAGTTCACAAATAGAAGATAAGATATACCACTCCTATAACTATCTTTGTCTGTTCAATATGAATACAAGACAATGTTCATGCAAATTAGGTCAGACAGTCATGGCCTAGACATGATAGATTTGCCCTTGTAGTGAGTGGGTTTAGGTTTTACGCCGCACTCAGCAATATTCCAGCTATATGGCGGCGGTCTGTAAATAATCGAGTCTGGACCAGACAATCCAGTGATCAACAGCATGAGCATCGATCTGCGCAATTGGGAACCGATGACATGTGTCAACCAAGTCAGCGAGCCTGACCACCCGATCCCGTTAGTCGCCTCTCACGACAAGCATAGTCGCCTTTTGTGGCAAGCATGGGTTGCTGAAGACCTATTCTACCCCGGATCTTCACGGGTCGATTTGCCCTTTGTAAAAGAAGAGACAATCTAGGTTCGAATCCCATACCTCTCTGATCATGCATCACTTCTGGCTCTCCCACATCAAGGTGGCACACCTTGGTATACCTGAAATACTGTTCAAAGCAATCATACTCACTCACTCTTAAAGACAACGTGCATGGCTTGGTTTTGTTAGTTAGCCAAGTGGTGTATATGGAGCGGACACCTGTCCTACATATCTGGCAAGTTGATTTAAACCTAATCCTGACCCTGAGATTCTTGAGAGGCATTTAGAAGTTGGTGAATAATATATAAGACAAGTATATTATATGGCAACTTCTAACCCAGGTCTTAACAGGGTAATAAATAAGAAGTTGCCATCCATATACTTACTTGTCTTATATCATCGTGCGTGATAAACGCAATAAAACACGGCCTATTGCGTTATGACATCTATCACGTGCTTCCACTGTTGGCGAACACATAATGTCATCGTTGATTTAAAGAGATCTGGTCGCATAATCTTCACCGCTATTTAGTCTTTGACGCCTCCCTTGAAGATCCGGGTTAGAATTGGTATTAAGCAACCCATGCTTATCGTAAGAGGCGACTAACGGGATCGGGTGGTCAGACTCGCTGACTTGGTTGAAACATGTCAACGTATACCAGTTGCGTAGATCGATGCTCATGCTGTTGATCACTGGATTGTCTGATCCTGACTCGATTATTTACAGACCACCGCCATGTAGCTGGAATATTGCTGAGTGCGGCATTAACCAGCCAGCCAACCAAACAACCAACCTTTGACGCCTCGTGGAGTCTGATTTTGTTATTCTCTGGCTTTGACGTTTCATATTTACAATGTTAAAAAAATTCACGAGGAGCCATTTAAAGGATTGTTGGGTAGAGTCCGTCCCAAGCATCGCAGACCTCTCTTGCCAACATTCAGCTGTAAGTGCTTCCATATTTGAACAGATACTGTTGCCGGTTATGTCTCTGGTGAGATCTTAATCGGTTAATCAAACAAAACGATTATTTACCAAACAGACCAACTGTAAGCCATCTGTGTATATATAAAGCAGATAAGACCGCTTATCAAAATATCCCGATTATATTCTGACGGCACTGTCCAGTCTTATGCATATTAGGCAACCTGTTTCGCGATCAGAAGTTCACATAAAAATGAAGGACACACTTTGGAACCACCACCAGTCTGTGTCACAGTAAATATTCCAGACCCTACGTCAGCATTTAAAAGCAGACAGGGCGGTGGGGTAGCCTAGTGGTTAAAGCGTTAGCTCGTCAGGACGAAGACCCGGGTCGATTCCCCACATGAGTTAAATGTGTGAAGCCTATTCTGGTGTCACCCGCCAGGATATTGCTGGAATATTGCTAAAGGCCGCGTAAAAGTAAACTCACTCACTTTAAAAGCAGACTAAAATTGGGATTACGTGGCCAGTTAGTTTTCCTGTTGTTTAACCCCGCACTCAGCAATGTTCCAGCAATATGACGGCGGTCTGTAAATAGTCGAGTCTGGACCAGACAATCCAGTGATCAACATCATGAGCATCGATCTGCACAATTGGGATATGATGACCTGCATGAACCAAGTCAGCCAGCCTGACCACATGATCCCGTTAGCGTTTTGATGTTGATCGCGGGATTATCTGGTCCAGACTCGATATTTGCAGACCGCCACCATGAGCTGGAGCATTGCAGAGTGAAACAAACAAACAAACACAGAACATTTACCTGCATGCCATTGCTGATGAGTGAGTGAGTGAGTTTAGTTTTACGCCGCACTCAGCAATATTACAGCTATATGGCGGCGGTCTGTAAATAATCGAGTCTCGACCAGACAATCCAGTGATCAACAGCATGAGCACCGATCTGCGCAATTGGGAACCGATGACATGTGTCAACCAAGTCAGCGAGCCTGACCACCCGATCCCGTTAGTCGCCTCTTACGACAAGCATATGACCCTTTTGTAGCAAGCACATTGCTGATGAACGTACTGAAAATGCATAACCTTTTCCAACTTAACTACCACAGCCGATGATAATATTAACATATAAGTAACAATAGGAACCGCCTCCTCTTAGATAACAGAGCTCAGATGATAAAACAGAGAACTGGTCTGTTAAACAATTCAGCAAATGTTGAGAAGAATAGCTCAAACTGACACCAAGTTCTCTCCCTTTGGGAATTTATACGACCACTTCAAGAATATTAGCCATGGTACAAATCTTGACTTTGATAATTCATGTCATTTTATAATCCGTTTGACTTCATTTGAGACCGACGAATTGCTCACTTACACAAAATCTAATAAATGCAACAAAATCAAACTGTGCACAGTCACATGAAATCGACAGACCAACTCTGATGACTTGTCTCATGATTTTGGACACCCGAATAACAAAGATGTTGAACAAACGATCATTATTTTGAAATTTCACTACACACACTTGTTGATTACCTGGCTGTTCTACCAGCAAGTGGTCCTCCCTCGTAAAAAATAGCGGTAAGTGACAACAAAATGATTGTTTGTTAAACAACTTGTTTATTTGGGTGTCCAAAATTATTAGACAAATCATCAGAGTTGGTCTGTCGATTTCATGTGACTGTGCAAAATTTGCTTTTGTTGCAATTATTAGATTTTGTGTTAGTGAGCAATTCATCCGTCTCAAATGAAATCAAACGAACTGTAATGGTTTTGATTTTAATGTTAAATTAGAAAACAGTAGTACTACAATAAGACTATCAACTGGTGAATTGGTACAATGTATAAAAAAGCTCGGAAGAAGCAAAGATTGACTTTGACAGAATTGTAATAATTTGGGACACAGTGTTCCTCCATGTCCTGCAAGGGAATCTTTTAACACTAACAACGTTAACGTTGATGAGTCACGGTCATATCCCAGCTAACTAACTCTCTTATCCTGCCCCGCAAAGTGATCTTAACTGTAGGTTTGGTGTACGTCTATGTAGGGACAAAAGTAAACTGCAGTTATAGCGCTAAGATCTTATTGGTTGACAGGACTCTTAGTAATAGCACCCCGTGGTTCAGTAGATGGAGTATTTACCCAGAGAGTGGAAGGTCGGTGGTTCGAACCCCGGTCACGTCATGTCGTGGGCTAGCCTTATAGTACACACCCGCGCACGCGCACACGCACACGTACACGCACAGACGTACCGTTGAACCCCGTTTCACATCATAATCACATCATACACGAGGTAACTTACTCCCATTTTATTTGAAAGTTAAGAGGCAAGAAAGAGTGAGAGTAAACATGTGAGGGTAAAATAAATATTCTGATTGTCGATGCACTGTTAATCATTTGTATAAATACAGCTGCCATTTAGAAAGTGATCAAATGTAACACCGCACCTTTACAGAATGGATAAGATGGCTGACTTTGTGTGCTGGCGATTAGGTGCCTGACTATCAGAGTTTGGGTTCGAATCCCGGATGGGACTCAGCTTAACAAAAGTACTAGGATCTGTAGTTTACTGACAAAGTGTAATACCAAATATAACATGTGTTAAATCCTTGATGTGGTTAATGCACCTCTTATTATCACACACGTGTTTTGTTGACAGGGAATATGCAATGCCCAGACTGGCCCGGCGCTGCTGGATCTCCAACTCATCACCAACACCAACACCCAACAGTCCGCTGTGTTCTTCACGGGAGCCTCCGTCGGGAGCATGTGCGGCTCCTTGTCCTTTGGCTTCCTGTTTGGCCGACTTAACAAGCACCTGTTGATGTTCCTCATCCTGCTCGGGGCAGCTGTAGCCGTCGGGGTTCTGCCGTTGTGCACACCGTATATTCTGATGGTCTTCATGCATGGAATCGTGTCCTTCTTTAGGGCTGGACACGTTACTTGTAAGTGGCGTAGTCGTTGGAATTACGCGTTGTTGACTGCGCCAGTTTCTTATACATCCGCTGGCGGTGGGGTAGCCTAGTGGTTAAAGCGTTCGCTCGTCACGCCAAGGACACGTTTCGATTTTCATATGCGTACAATGTGTGAAGCCCATTGCCGGTGGTCCTTCGTAATATTACTTGAAAATTCTTAAAAGCGACGAATAAACCAACCCAAACACTTTTATACACACATCCACCCCGAGAAGATCCAGGTTAGAATTGATCTTCAGCAACCCACGCTTGTCGTTTTAGGCGACTAACGGGATCGGGTGACCAGGCTCGCTGACTTTACTGACACATGTTATCGTATCCCAATTACTACATGGCTGCTGATGATTTCAATCACTGGTTTGTTCGATCCAGACTAGACTGCCGTCATTTTGCTGAAAAATGACTGAGCACGGCGTTAAACAACAAACAATGTACACCCACCCGCCCTGCTAGTGCCGGCATGAAACTAACAGTCAATTGGGTACTATTTATGATTAGTTGATTTTAATGCCATAATAATTTCCATTAACGAGCTATGTGATGGCACAATAGGTCCCAGTCGCTATTCTCCATTACTTGATTGTGATAAAGACATGCTTCTGCTGACAACCACTAGTTTGACAGACCCAGCTGCCGTAATACAATGAATTTTAAGTTTCAACATGTATTGAATTATAAGAATACGAAAGCATGTGCTGACTAATTGCAGTGATACCTGGGTAATGGCTAAAGCGTTTGCGTCAATGTAAAGGACAACTTTGAAATGTCCGATAGATTTACTCGTAACTCGCATCCAATCCGCTAGGTAGTTCTACAATTCTTCTTTTGAATTTAACACTGTGCTCAATTCAGCTGTATAATTTTTAATCATAATTTTTAGATAACTCATATTTAAAAAGTGCCACGACCATCATGAAATGAGATCCATGCCTAATTTATTTTTTTCTTCAAGGTGGTAACACAGATTTGATAAGGACTTGGGAAGCTGAAAGGAGGGTGTTCATTCAGATTCTCCACTTCTGCTTCGCTCTTGGGGGAACGCTTTCCCCACTCATCACAGAACCCTTCCTTGCACATAGTACAAGCTCAAACAATACCCGAGGGGCAGACAACTCCAGCACCCCTCTCTCTCACATCTGCGTGAACAACAGTGACTTTGTAGACAATGGAAACTGTGATATAGTTGTCACAGAAACAAAAGTTGAATACGCGTATCTCATAACAGGGATTCTGTTCCTCGTAGCTTCGTTGACCTTCCTGATCCAAAGGTGCTGCCGCAGATCCGAACCAGCTGATGCCCAGAAGTCTATGACTGGATACGCCAATTTGGACGAACCGTTACCGATGGTGTATATCTTTGGTACAATGGTATTTGTTGTTTTGATCTTTATCTTTCTCGTGGCCGTTGAGGCGTGTTTGGCATCCTTCCTCCTGACCTTCGTGGTGGAGCAGCTGAACTGGACGAAAACATCGGGAGCTAGACTGACATCAGTATTCTGGGCCTGTTACGCAGCCATGAGGTTTGCAACAATCTTCTTCACGGAGCGTGTGTCCCCATTTGTTCTCATTCTCGTCACCTCTATCACCATGCTTCTATCTGCAGTAGGTCTGCTAATGTCCTCTATCTATGACAATGAAATCGGTGTGTGGGCCTGTGTTGCATTGAGTGGGCTGTCTCTCGCTTCACAGTTTCCGTCGACGATGATGTGGCTGGAAGAGTCGATACTGAGGTTGTCATCCAGAATCGTCTCCATCATTGTCTTCTCCTCCACCTTGCCCGGTATCATCAACCCGTTAGTCATTGGGTATCTGATGCAGGAAATCTCCCCAATATGGTTGATGTACATACTCACTATTGAGAGTGGTGTGTCAGTGCTGCTTATTCTGTCCTTGTTCACCTGGTCCAAGGCTGTCCTCAAGCCGTTGCATGAGAGACAGAATTCAGAACGATTGGTACCCCAGGATTACACCTAATTTAATTTGTTTTCCGAAAGATAATCTAGAATCCAAAGGAGTTATGATAATCCTGTCCGCGTTGACATCGTCCATGGTGGCCCTAACGCTGATGTATCAGAGACAGAATTCAAACTTTTAGCGCAGGATTAAACTTAATCTAATTTGGTTTTCGGAAGGTACTGTAGAAGCCACATTAATTTTAATCATCCTGTCTCTATTCACGTGGTTCAAGATGGTGCTTACTATCAGCGACAGACTCAAGAAGTATTGGTTACTCAGGATTAAACCTATTTAAAGCACAAGGGCTACGTCCAGTCCATCAAAACCTTAACTTGTTAGGTAGCAAATACTATTTTCTCGCTCAACTGTGAAATTTTGTGATTTCACCGGATCACATGAAGCATCATTTGCACAAGTGCTTTTACCCTTCTATTTTACATGTTGAACTAAATCTGACATACATCATTCGTGAAAAAGATTCTTTGACTAAATCTTTGTAGTATATTTTACACGATCGAAATCACACTTTTTAAAGTCCAGCGAGAAAATGGTTGTTGCTGCCTACCAACTTCAAGTTTGGAATGGACAACACTTGCGCCTTGTGAAATTGGTGTTAGCTGTGACAAGAATGAAGTTATTGTATACCAATGTATGCCAGCTTAAAAGTGTTAGAAGAAAGTGATGTCGGTCTTACACGTTTACGGGGCGGTGGAGTAGCTTAATGGTTTAAGCATCCGCTCGTCACGCTGAAGACCCGGGTTCGATTAGCCACATGTGTGAAGCCCATTTCTGGTGTCTCCCGCCGAGATATTGCTGGAATATTGCTAAAAGTGGCTGAAAAACCATACTGACTCACTCACTTAAACGTTTACCATTGTGGTGGGATCCTCAAGCATGAACATACTGCTGAGAAATGACAAATAATTGGACAGAATGCTATCTCTACGCATTGGATTGCGCAGATCAGGGACGACTTTGCCATCCACAATCGATTGAAGGTCCAAATAGCTTCAAATATTGACTGACTGACTGAGTTTGGTTTTACGCCGCTTTTAGCAATATAAATATTGACTGAACCTGCATTAAAACACAAATAGGTAGTGTACGTTAAGTATCTCTATCAGATGTCCGTTACTAGTTTTCTAATTACATGTCTGCTTCATGTAACTTCATCAGAGTTATTATTACAAATGATTGTATGACGATAATCAGTTGAGTTTCACAAGTAATTAGGCTATGCATTAAACATATAGCTTGACATCACTCAAGATTTGTTTGTTATTTCATACCGCCTTCGTGGTCCACTGGATTCGTGGTCCGCAGATCGAAAGGTTGAGGGTCGACATTTTCTAAGGACATGATCAGGAGATCCACATATATAACGACCCTGATCTGGTTATTGAACACAACTCTATACTCCGTTGACTGCATCAAAATTCATGGAGTATGGAGTGAGTGAGTGTATTTTTACACAGCAATATTCCAGCCATATGGCGGTGGTCTGTAAATAATCGAGTCTGGACCAGACAATCTAGTGATCAACAGCATACGCATCGATCTACGCAATGGCGATACAATGACATGTGTCAACCAAGTCAGCGAGCCTGACCACCCGATCCCGTTAGTAGCCTCTTACGACAAGGATCTTCGCGGGCCCATACAGTATGGAACTATAAGATTAACAAACCCCGTTCCATCTACAATGTCCGGGTCTTTGTATTTTATCCTCTTGATAGATGACGCAAGGTTAATAGTTCTCTGTTCAAGTCTTTTCAAGCTGCACTGATAAATGTCACCATGCATTAATTTCCATTTCCCCATGTATATTTAGCCAATCAAAAGACAAAAGTATTATAATGGTTCTGCAGCCAATCAAAAGACAGTAGTATTATAACGCCTCTGCAGCCAATCAAAAGACAGGAGTATTATAATGGTTCTGCAGCCAATCAAAAGACAGTAGTATTATAACGGCTTTGCAGCCAATCAAATGACAGGAGTATTGTAACGGCTCTGCAGCCAAAGAAGTCACATATAGTAGTATTATAAAGGAACGTAGCCATAAAGTATACATATGTATAGAAGTATCTTTACGGCTTCGTAGCAACAAAATATACACATGGCACTCTTTTTACTTCTCTGGGGTGGAATATTGCTGAGTGCGGCGTAAAACTAAACTCACTCACTCACTCTGCGGCCAAAACAACTAAAACATAGGCGCAATATATTGAAACCCATAAGAAACAAATTTCACCTTTAGCTAATCTACCCCATTTGGGGGCCCAGTGACACCGGTAGGTGTGCACATTATGATCCCTTTAGGGCAGACATCAATGTACTGATTTATTGATGGAGTTTAGACATGAAACATGGCATATCATTAGTCTGGTCAATGTAGCAGCTTGTGGACATTTTCTTGAGGTTGACACATAGTATAAAAAGCAAAATATTTACCGCCCAACGTGGGGCTCGAACCCACGACCCCGAGATTAAGAGTCTCGTGCTCTACCGACTGAGCTAGCCGGGCAGACATGAAAAAGGGCGCCAAATTTCACCTTTAGCTAATCTACCCCATTTGGGGGGCCCAGTGACACCGGTAGGTGTGCACATTATGATCCCTTTAGGGCAGACATCAATGTACTGATTTATTGATGGAGTTTAGACATGAAACATGGCATATCATTAGTCTGGTCAATGTAGCAGCTTGTGGACATTTTCTTGAGGTTGACAC